TGCGGAGATAGCAGCTCCAACCACAGCCACTACGTGTTGGCTGTTCACCGAGAGATTCCGCCCAGGTGAACCATGAAAATGCTGGCAATTGCACAGGTAGAAATGTGGCGAAAATGGTGGAAATGGCAGAAATGGCAGCTGCGAAAACGTTTCTCGTCTACTTTTCACTGCAATCGAGGGAGAAGGGGCAAAAGGTGATTGGATGGAAACTGGCGGAGATGCGTATAAATTATATTGGCCGCTTTCCGATTTTCCACATTGATCCCGTAGACGAGCAATGAAAATCTGCAGTGCAATTTATAGCCACCATTTACACCCGGTTTTCACTGAATCTGAACTATTTCGCGTGGCGCGCACTGTGATTGCATTTAAATCAATGAAATGCGCATAAATTAATTAAGTCAGAGCGAATCAAACGAAAAGAAACCCATTTGTTGTATTTATAAATGTTTAACTTCCTATGGCTACAAATTAACCGCACAAAAACATTTACCTTTAATTAAGCCACAAACTGGTATTTAGCCAACAATTTGCTATCGATTTTGAGTGTTTGTTTACTTCGCAGAGCGAACGAAATCTATGCAAATTCGTTGGCAACTTAATTATGCCAAGAACGGGTTGATTCCCGTAATTGATTACGACATCTGCTGGCCAGGAACTCCCCCAACATAGATATGACATGGCCAAGATTAATGCCACCAATTTGTCCACTTCCCAGCCGCATGCCGATCTCTAAGCCGCTGTTTAGTTTATTTTTAATTTATTTGGCAGCCGTTTGCAATGAACCCGACATGAAGAGGTTAAGTCCAAAAGATGTTTTTGCCATTGGGGGAGCCATTCAACTTTTGCTTTTAACTCGAATTCGTTTGGTGATTTGATTGATGGCTGGCGAGTTTGCGAGTGGGTGATGATCTGCTCAAGAGATCTCAATTATTACCAATTCCCTCGGTTCGGGGTTCTTTAATTTTCAGCGCTGTTCGTGATGCGATTCTAATTACGACTAAACTTCATATCATATATCATCGCATAGGCATAATAACTTCGTAGAAGTCCATAATTTATGCTAATTCTCGTGTGGCACCGAAATAGCACCTCGTAAATGTAAATTCGGTTCCCAAATAGAGAGGAAACCCCCTTGAAAAGCAATCACACGCCCCTTGCTCATTTATCAGCATCATGGATGGGGGGCACACGTGTGATTTAAATACGTTTCCCATTCTCATTGCGATTCTTTTAAGTATTTAAAATTCGGGTCTTAAAACCCAAAGTGCTGATGAGCTTATCTCTAACCTCGAATGGACAAGGTTATGAAAAAGAGTCGGATTAGTTCTACAGACAGATTCCTCTATTGAAAAATAATAAAACACAAATTTTTATACTTTTTGTTTCTAAGCTGCCGCCTGATTGATTCCCATGTCTTTAGTTTTTTTGTAGTTTTATTTTGTTTTTTTTTAAACTTGTTGATACGATCCAATTAAAATCACATTTTCAGCTGCGTGGATGAAGTAATGCCCAAATCTAAATTATTACCGGCCCGCCCAGGTTCAAGATCAAGGTCTTACGATTTCCCCTTCATCATTTTCCGCGACATTTGAATGTCGTCTGTGCTCCCACAGCCAACTGCATCCGAAGTGGGTCATAAATCAGTCAAATTTCGCCCACTCTCAGACGTTTTCCCTGCGCCTATTTGTGTGTGGGTGCCGTCTCTCTTTTTATTAGCCACTTAAACGAATGTCAAGTTGTAATAATGTTGACAACATCGTCGATCGGCGGTGTCTTGAAGGTCTATCTGCCGGGAACTCTAGCGTCATCGCGTCATCGGGTCGAGCAAACAAACCAGAAAGCAAGTAAACAAACCGACTCCGGAGACAGCAGTTACAGCCACTGAACCTTACCAAGATCGGTACACAGAAAAAATGATGAATTCTCTCCCTTTTGAGATTTTAATAGTTTTCATTCAATGATCTTTTAAATATTTTACCTAATTATAATCCCAGCTAAGGAGCTAAACACATTTAATACATAATTTACTTTCATTATTCCCTTGCAGAGTATTATAATTTGGTCAAAAGTAACAGAAGGAGACATCTCCGACCCTATAAAGTATATATTTCTGATCAGGATCACCCCGAGTGATAAGCCATGTCCGTCGTCCGCGTCCGTCTGTCGTTTCACGCAAACAGTCCCAGTTTTAAAGCATCGGATTGAAACTTCACACACCCTTCTCCTTGCACGCAGTATAAGTCGGAACGGCCGGGACGGCCGACAACCCATAGCGCCATATAACTGATTGATCGGAAATGCCATAACTTTGGTGTTGTAAAGTTGAAAGTTGGGATTTTCTATGGGTTTTATATTTGGCCAATCAATCCGACACCAAATTTCATAAGGATCGGCCGACTACATCCTATCTGCCATATAACTGATTGATCGGAAATGCCAAACTTTGGTCTTTGTAAAGTTAGAAAGTTGGGATTTCATGGGTTTATATTGGCCAATCAATCCGACCCATCAAATTTCATAAGATCGGCCGACTATATCCTATAGCTGCCATATAACTGATTGATCGGAAATGCCAAACTTTGGTGTTTGAAAGTTAGGAAGTTGGGATTTCATGGATTTTATTTTGGCCAATCAATCCGACCTATCAAATTCATAAGGACGCCGACAATCCTATAGCTGCCATATAACTGAACGATTGGAAAGCCATAACTTTGTTGTTGTTAAAGGAAGTTCGGATTTTTATGAGTATTAAGAATGCATCATATGAATAATTTTGGAGAATATAATTTACAGAGTATTCTGCAAGGGTATATCAACTTCGGCTCCGCCCGAAGTTAGCTTTCCTTTCTTGTTTTAATATAACACAGTAGGTTAGTTGTCAATTGATATTTTGTTTCTATTTTATGTATTCTTCACCACCGTATGCCTATTAAAATAATGATATTTCGAAGCACTATTCGAAATAGAAATTTTAAAAACAATCATTAAATGGAAAAAAATGTTCCAAATTTGACATTCTAAGAAATATTTCATACAATAAGTAAAAAGAATGAAGCATATCTTTGCAATTAAGCCTTAAGGCTTTTAGGAGCAGACGAAATGATTTTATTAATGCAAACCTCTGTTTAGAATTTATCAATTTCAAATAGGTCTCAATAATATTTTCCGGTGTAGCAGGCTTATAATGAATGTCAAGTCGTCACCGGTGAGGAATTTGTTGTCGATTGCCGTTGGCCAAGAAAAGCCAAGAGGCACAAGCCAACAATGGCTTGGAGCCAAGACAAGCCAGGTAACTCCGGTCTGTCTGGCGAAGCTGTCAAGCCAGTTGGCCAGCGTGTGTTTACTTCTTTAACTCTTTTCTTTCCCCCCTTTAATTTGTTTGCTTTCGTGGGCATGAATTATTTTACAGGAATTATATATGATTAGCCGTGTGCATACGTGCGCACTGGTCTTTGGGGGAAATGAGAAATGAAAGGGGAGGCGTCGAATTAGCCACACGCTCGAATGGCTCAATTAAAATGACACAATCAAACCCATAATTTGCTGAGAGAGTGCAATTGAAACAGGTATTTCATCGCTAAAAGCTTTAAGTGATAAATCATTTAATTAAGTTTAGAGGAATGTCAAAGGTGAAAGACATGCTATGGTCGAACTTGCAGGGTAGGCCTAAGTTTTAATTAAATTTCGGCTTATCATTAGATCTTCTTTACTTTCACTTTTAAACCAATTTCAAAGCGAAATCTGATTTTTTTCTGGCAAGATTGTTTTTAGCAATAAAAAACCGAATAGTTTTAAAATTATAGTTTTTTTTTGGTTTTACGCCTTTGGTGAGTTTTATTGCTTAAAAAAACAAATTTTTGTTAATTTAAATAAGGACTTTATGTTCATGTTTCTTTTTTCTGTAAAATTCTTTCTATGTTTATAATAAATTAACAAAGTTAAATTTTAATACGAAACTAAAATTCAATGATACAATTTTAATAAATAAGTTTTGTAATTTGGTTTGCTGGCGACCTTTGATGAATGTTTTATTTTGGAGTTTTTCCGGCTCGAGGTCAACAATTGAAAAAAAATTTTAAACAAAAGTTTTTAAATTTTATTTTTTTCCAATATATTTCGGTTGTACTTCGGCAACCGTCTTCAAAGCAACTATAATCAACATAAAAACACATAAAAAACATAAATTTGGACAATGAAAAACAAGTTTTGTTTAAAAAACAATGGAATAGGCAAAGAACTTAAAATTTTTGTACTAAAATATAAATCATTTTTTAAGAAACCAAACTTACTACTTAGATCTTAGTCTTATTTTATTTCACGACTTCTGAGAATGTTTTCAAGTTTCTCATCTGACTTAACGAACCCATTTTATTTAAGCTGCATCTAAGACCCTTAAGTTGCAGTAGGGCTAAAAATAACCCATCACAGACCCTCTAAAACAGTTAGCAGATTAACCCGCGGCATTTCAAGTCATTTATATGCGCAAAGTGGGTCACTGCAGCCGGCTCACACACCATTCACACACTCCGAGGCACTCGGTGTGTCAACAAATTGAAAATAGAATGCAATAACAAGCCTCAGAGGCAGTGGCAGCTACAGTGACGGCTTTTGACCAGGTTGTCTGCCACTTGACGAGGTGGTTAAAGTTATGAAAGTGCTAATTGAAACGCCACACAATGACCGGCCAAATGAGCGACTCGATGAGTGGACACTGACTATCCAAGAGATGACCAGTTTCGCGGCCAAAGCTGTTTATGAATGGGGGTCAATAAATAAAATAAATCTGTTCGAATATATTCCCGTCGGCTCAATTTGTCTTGTCCAGTGTGGAGGCGTTTGTGTGTCCATCCATCAACGGAAACACTTGTTAGAGGCTTCTCCGCCCAAATATATTTGCATAAAACAAACATTTGCTGAAATAAAATTATGATAAGCAGACGAGTTGAGAGATTTACGAATGTTCATCGTTTGTTTTCATTTCATTCCTTTTTTTCCAGTCGTTGGTTGAGCGATGTAAGAAGTGGCCAGAACGAACAAAACAGAGCAACAAGAGATTAATCTCAGCCAGGAAAAACAGAAATAAGACCCCGCATCACCATCCAGCAAGAAGCAGCCATAAAATGTGGTGCTGTCAAGTATTTATCTTAGCTTTATGTAAGTGGTTGCACATGCAGTTCCCACGATGATTTACTAAATTCGAATTACGCCCTTAGTTGCTCACACAATTGCGACGGAGTTCCATTCCAGCGCAGCTCATGCCGGAATTAGTTTCGAAAGCCACTCGCCGACCCAAGGTCCGGATGCAGTGACTCCGACTACCAGACCAAAGCGTCGCGTGTACGGCATGTGCCCGCCGCAGTTCCAGCGCGTGGGCACCGATTGCTACTCCTTGGTGGATCAGCGCAGCAGCTGGCTGGAAGCCCACTTCTTCTGCAAGGACAAGAACGCAAATCTCACGGAACCGGGCAAACATGCCGACCGCAAACTGAGGCAGTTCCTTCAGAAACAGGATGCGCTCTCAGGTGGTGAGTAGATGGTGTTGAGTTGAACTTTTATAGACCAAACTCTTCGCAAATTAATAAATAATTAACAAGAGGTTTAACTAAAATTTGTTAAACTTTGTTTTGATAAAAAAAATATATTAAATATTAAATACTAATTGTCTCGGACCTATAAAAGTTCAACCGTGTATATCTGTGTAAGAACAAAACTAAGTCCTGTGTTTCCACCCATCAGAAAAAGACCCTATTTGGCTGGGTGCCACCTACGATCACCACAACAGCCGGTGGCAGTGGAGCATGAGTGGCCGCAATCTGACCAACGACTCCTTCAGCCACACTGACCCCACGTAAGTTAATCTTTTCAATGATCTTTCCTATCTGCCTTTATTTTCGTAGATTGATTAAACGCTTAAGCAACAATTCTAGCTATGTGCAACTTATCTCCAACAGCCAACCGCTGGATAATAACTGTGCCATCTACGATCCGAATCTCAAGTACCGCTGGTCGGCGCGTTCCTGCTCGGATAAGTTGCGCTTCATCTGCCAGCATAAAATGCCAAAGGTGAGCGGGCAAAATCGCTACAGGATCTACAACCGCTGGAACGCCACCTATCCGAATGAGCAGGCCAACGAGGTGGTCCTGGAGATCCTGGAACCGCGTGAAAACGATCGCAGGTAAATTAAAACTAAGGGGTGGCATCCCCGGGCAACAGCTGGTTGTCCGGCGAGTTATCATCCTCTTTTTCATCCTCTCCTGCTTTCCTATCGGCTTCTTCTTCTGCCAAGAACTCATCCCATTTGGAGAGCCGTTCGTGTGCCTCCACAGCTGATTCATCAATTCTAAAAGAAATAAAAGAACAAAACTGATGAAACTAATATTGAAGTGACATTTTTCCTAAACTTACTTGTATTTGGTCTTGCCATCCCAGGACTCGGCACTTAACTGTCGCTGTCCAAAATAGCGTCCCTGCATCATTTGTATGACCAGGTCGGCTTCCTCCGGCGAGGACATGTTGATCTGGGCAACGCCTTCAGGATGTCGCTGAAATAAAGTGTTATGACATATTTTGATATTTAAGGAAATGTTGATTACTTACGTCATAGATGACCACTTTGCGGACCATCCCGCACTTGCTGCATTCCTCACGCAGATTGTTTTGGTACTCCAAGATGAGTTCCACCTCCTTCTCAAAGAGTTCTGGGGCGAAAAGGTTTTTAATGATGACCGTTTTCTCATTCTTTGAGCGCTCGCCACGCATTTTATCCGGACGCCAATCGAATAATCTGAAATTATGAATTTAAAAGAATATATTAAATCTCTTTAGATTAAAAACCAATTTGGATTCAGAATCACTAACTTTTCCTTCATCTTTTGCAATTTTTCCTTGTCCTTTTTCTTTCGCTTGGGCTTTAGGGCGGGATTGTATTCCCCTCGCATTTGAAACTGAGCTCTCTGGACGCGAATCTTATGGCCGCGCAAGTTATACTCGTCCAGAATTTTTAGCGCCAGATTGACACTTTCAACCTGAAAGCAGAAATAGCTAACTAATGATTGGTTTCTTTTTTTCCAGATACCGCCGTGTAAAGGCCGAGGGCAGTGACGAAGAGATAATCATTCCCAACCGACGCCGGAATAACAACCGCCGGAATAACCAGAGGAATCGTCAGAACCAGAATCAGCACCCCAACGATGTGAACTACCAGCCAGGACAGCAGCGCCAGAGGAATCGTCCTCGTGTGACCACTGTAGCGCCAGCGGCACCGCAATCGGCTAGCCCATCAAATGACGTCCTCGCTTCCCGACCATCGCCCCAGCAGGTGACCCAGTACGATCGCAAGTTGCAACGCCAGCGAGAAAGGGAACGTCGCCGCCAGGTGCGTCGCCAGGAGCGCCAGAAATTGGCTCGTGAGCAAAAGCGAGAGAAACAACGCCGCCAAAGGGAAGAACGCCAGCGAGTGCAGCGTTTGCGCCAGGAGGAACAGCAACGCCGGCAGCAGGAGCAAGTCTCGAACGATGACCCAAAACGTCCGGAGGTCGATGAGCTGCGTCAGCGTTCTGAAGAGGATAAGGAGAGGAAGCTGAGGGAAGAGCAGCAAAAGAAGCAAAGAGAGGAGCAGGATAAGAAGCAACGGGATGAGCAAGATAAGAAACACAGAGAGGACCAGGAGGAATATCAAAGGGAACAGGAAAGGATCAGGCAGAAGGAAGAGGAACAGCAGGCCTCTAATCACCGGCAGCAGCTTAAAGAAAACCAGGAGCAACAGGACCGCGAACTGAAGGCCAAGCAACAGCGGGAGCAGCAGGAACGGGAGTACCAGCAGCTAAAGCGGGAGCGCGAGTTGGAGCTACTGAAGCAACGCCAGACGGAAGCAGCCCGCCAGCAAGCCGCAGACGACGAGGCGGAGAAACTACGCCAGGAGCGCATCCAGAAACAGCGCCAACTGGAGGCAGAAGAGCGACGAGAACGCGAGGAGCAGCACCGCAAGCAGCGCGAGGAGCAGGAGAAGCTGGATCGCCAGAACCACGAAAAGCGTAAGGCGGAGGAGCAGCGACTACGAGAGGAGTATGAGGAGAAACTAAAGCAGGCCAATACTGAGCGGGAGAAGAAACTGGCAGAGGCCCACGAGGCCAAGAGACGCGAAGAGCTAGAGCTGCAGGAGCAGCGGGAGAAACAGGAGGCCGAACGCCAGGAACAGATCAGACTCGAGCAGATGGAGGAGGAAAAGCGCCAGGAACTGCAGAGAATGGAGGAAACGCGTCGCTTTGAGGAGAAGGAACTGAGGCGCCTGCACGAGGAAAACTTGCGTCGCGAGGAGCAGCAGCTTCAGCGGGAGCGGGAAATAGCACTCCGGGAGGCCGCTGAGAAGAAACTGGCCGAGGAAGAAGAAATGCTTAAAAAGGAGCTGCTAGAGGAGGAACGGGCGAGGAAGGAGCGCATAGAAGAGGACTTACGTCAGGCGGAAGAGGTGCGCAAGGCCGAGGAGGCGAAAAATAAGGCTGCCGAAGAAGCCAAGGCCGAGGAGCAGAAGCGTCGCCTGGAGACGGCCAAAAAATTAGCCGACGAAGAAGTCCAGGCCAAGCTGGAGGAGAAGCGCCGGAATTATGTCAACCGAATTTCGGCTTTGAGTGCCGAAGACCAGAAGAAGTTCATCGAGATGCGCAAGCGACGCAAGCTGCTCAAGGAAAAGAAGGAACGCGAACAGAAAGCGAAGGAACTCAAGCGGATACAGCAAGCCATTCGATTGGGTGAAAACGAGTAGAAGTCCTGGTCGTCGAGAGAACACGATTCACCCCACTAACCAATACTAACCGAGACATATCGATCAAATTGGTTCCACATATGCACCGTTGCCCAGTCGATCCCTTTTCGATTGTTTTCTTTGTGCTTTAATTAACAAAAAACACAGGAAGAACACGCAAAAGTATTATTTATCAGAAAGAGAGATAGAAAGGAGGAACATCTCTGCGAAGCATATTTTGTCGGTTAAGGGGAATCAAATTTCAATTGCATTTCGATTGAGCGGGAAACCCAATCTCCATGCACTTCGCTAGCTCTATTAGTACTGTACAGTAAAGATATACTATATATAGGTCTAGGATATAGACACACCACACACACCCACAGCACACCGGACACAGAACACACATGGCAACCAGTCACGCATGTTTCCTTAATAACCGAACTAGAAGTTAGCTATCAATTTTAGAGCCAATAAACCCTACACACGCAAATCACGGGAATTTTTAAACTCAAGCACAGAACCACGGGAATATTATAGTGAAGAAAACGTAAGATTGAACGGAAAACTCCTTTGGGTCAAAGCCCCTGTCCAACTCCCCGCACTTGTTTGCCTATGGTGTCCTCTAATCGGGCATAGCGAAGCAATAATTTACTAATAATCTTTTGATAACATCATGGTCACCGACCATTTACTAACTTCTTAGGTTACAAACTATACTTTACAAAGATGTATGTAATAACTAAAGTATGTTTAAATGTAAATTTTTATGTATTTTTTTAATACCTCAAACGCGAAAAGCAAGAAAAAAATGGAAAACCCCAAAGGCAACTTTCAGTACGTTTTGTTTTGTTTAAAGTGGAAATTGAAAGCTGGCAAGGACGGGTATGAAATCGAAAGGAAAAGCAATTTTATAGCCAAGTAAATGCATTTTAATAGTAAACTAACCAATTTTAAATATTATTACTCTACACACGGAGAAGTGAAAAGCGAATAAAACTAAATAGTCAGCGAAACGTAAGCAAAGAAATCATGAAAGAGAAAAGCAGAACACAAATGAAATACGAAATCATATGATAAAATTACCATATAATATTTATGCAAGATAAATTCTAGTTAAGACGCAAACAAAGTAAAATAATGAATAAAGTTTGAAAAAACACAAAACAAAGAAGTGGAATCTGTAGTTTTTTTTTACCCACTCACCTTGATATAATCACAAAGGCCATCGCCCTTGATCTGACCATCTTTTTCGGCGTACAGTTTCAGTTTGAACTTCTGGGTCTGCGGATCTCTCATCACCATGCCACACTTGCCCATCAGATCGGCAAACTCATCCATGGTAATGTCCAGCGGCAAGTTGGACACATACACCTTTGTGTTCTGGGAGGGATCCATTTCGAACCATTCTAAAAGGAAATGGGAGATTTGAGTTGTTATAAAAGCATGTACTACTGCACTACTCACTTGGTGGCTCCTGGACCTTCCGCTTGCCAGTGGGAGCTGCTGTAGATGCCGCTGTATCCTTGGCCATGGCTGCCTCTGCCTCAGCCGTCATCCGCTTGAGCTCCTCCTCCTTTCTCTTCTCCTCAGCCGCCTCTTTTTCAGCCTTCTCCTTCTCGCCCGCCGAAGTATTGTCAATGAACCCGTAGTTCATTTGGTAGCGGGCCATGAAGTCATCATCGATCTTGGGGAACCAGGCACTCTTGGCGGCGTCCCAGAAGAACTCGGCTCCATCTTTGTCCGTATAAGTACGCTCGCCCTGCTCATCCACTCCATAAACCCCTTCCTGGCCGGGATTCGGTTGCTTGGGTATCCACTTTTTCTGCTCATCATCCCACTTGTAATGCTCCGTTTCGGTTTCCTGTTTCTTGGGCAACCACTGTTGGGTTTTGAGGCACCATTTGTAGTGCTCGTTCTCGTAGAGATCCCCAGCACTGGCTGCTTCATCGGCGCTCAGGGGTATCCAATTGTTCTGGGTGGTGCACCACTTGTATTTCTGCTTGGTGCTGGGATCCGTATAGATGGCCCCACCATCCGCTGCATACGTCATGTGCTCCTCGTAGGCAGCAAAGTCTTGCGATGGTTTTTCCTCCGTTTTGGCTGGTTCACTAACCGATTGAGTTTCACCTTCCGCGGGCTTGTTATCAACTTCTGGGGTTGAAATGCTGCCGGGGATCGCCACTGCTGTTTCCTCCTCTTCAACTTGGTCCTTATTTTCCTCGACTAATTCCTCCGTTTCAGGTTTCTCCGCCTGCTCTGATTTACTTTCACCTTCATCGCTCATTTTGGGTTCTGTAATTAACGCAAGTCGAGAAGTAGACTACATTTAGTTTCTTCCTTTCCTTTACTGCTGCGTGGGCGTGTCAGTCGTCTAATTCCCAGCTAATTTCATATTTTTTTTTCCCAGGACAGCAAATAATTACCACGTGAAACAACAAAACTAAATTGCAGGAACGTGCCCATATCGCTTGACATTGAAGAAGGCGGCGAAAAATTAAGGGTGAGGAATGAGAGAGCATTCCGAGAAGCCCCCGGGAAAATAACAAGTTTTCCTTTTTGCACCTTTCGCCCGGCGAGGTAAACAATTTACACAATGATTGCCATTTTTCCCCCGACATGTGTGTGTGGGTCAAGCTTTGAGGCGGGTAATAAAATGAAATGAAAAGCGCACGCCACTTTCTGGGCGGTCCAAGAAAAGACCAACACAAATCCCCAGAAAACACAAACACAAAAGAAAAAGGACTTCGCTTACAACCGCTCTGAAGGTCAACTAATTTCGTGTTATTTTTGGGACAGAGAACCCTTCTTTCTACCTTCTCGAATCGATTGCTTTGAACTGGCCAACAGCAGGTTCAATCAACCTTTGGCCCGGTTAGTACAATTCCGAAGCCAAATAGATTTGTCAACCTATTGACACATCGCTTGAGAGTTCCGGCAGCTGACCCGCGGGTTTTTGACCGATTCCCTTTACGTCATCCCTAACATCTTAACCCAATCGAAGAGGGTTCAATGGACTCGGGCTAATTGTCACAACTTAAGGCCTCTAAAAATAAGCGCAAAAACCACCGAGGGCTTGAGTTCAACGCTCAACGAGTGGGCAGCATTTCCATGTACTCGCACAAGATTCGCCTTTTGCCAAGTCAGCGGATGAAGGTGGAACCGCCAGGGGAATTGCGGGAGGGGAGGAATCCATGGTCTAACTGGCACATGCAACAGACCATGCCCACTCCACACCCCGGAAAAGCAGCAAAAGGGCGGGGGGCACGGGCAATTGCAGTTTGCAGGCCAAACAACTTTGTTAGGGGATTCATAAATTACATAGACATTCGAGTATATACTCGAAAGGCTCACGGCTTCCACATGAATAAGGCAAAGTGCTGGCATATAATATGGAAAGTTCAGACCCTAAACTGGGGCTACACATTGCAATGCAAAATAGAATACAGAGCCCAGTGAAAGAAACACAGAAACATACGCGAACAGTCGACATTCTTTAAAAGGAACTTTTGTAAATTTAAGATTAAAGGATGACTTATGACTTAATAATTAATTAATGCTTATAAATTCCGAATTACAAATTTAATGTCATACAAATTATATTCACAGTAAATGCCTTTTTATTTATTTGCGGTTTCTTTGTTGTATCTTAGGCCATATTGAGTTAAATTCTATGTTTAAAGGGTCTGTCATTTTAATTTCTTCAAAGGAGATTATTTATAGAAACTAAGTTTAATTGTTATATAAATTTGATATTTATTTGAACAAATGTTAAAATTACTTACAAGCAATTTTGAATTTAGGCGTTTTTATTTGGCTTAAGACTCCTACTGTAGAACAATAATTACACTTTATTCTGGACTGGAAATGCAATGGCACGCAGTTATTCTATTTCTCTGGACACCTTTGGCCTTTTCCAGTCGACTGGTAACGCACTTATTGCATAACTAAGAACGGGAATCAAATGAAACCTTCTTCGGATGCCGCCAGAAATCAATTAATTGACGCAAATTGTCTGCGAAAGTCTGCAAATGTGGGCCGAACTAGCTAGTTGGCCCTGTTTTATGACGGCGCCTTGGAGGTCATAAAATGGTTAGCCAATTTCTGCTAACCGGTCTCCTCTTTCCAAAACCAAAGAAAGACGGCCTAAAACGAATTAATTAACTTTTCAGAAATGTCGCGAATTCGCAGGGCACTCGTCCTGCCGAAATGTCAACAGGTCGGGGGGAGGGGTGTTAGACGAAACCGGGACGTATGCGCAGTGAAAGGGAAAATCAACGCCCCAGTCACATATATAATAATGTTATTTTTAACGTGGCTCGTATTCCGAGAGATTTGCAAACATTACTCACAAATGCCATAAATACCAGAAAGAGAGTGGGTGGAGGGCGGTGACCCAAACTCCTAGCCGAAAAAACCGAATTCCCATACTCGCTCTTTGGCGCACGGAATAACTTAACTCGGAAAAACGGACGGAGTAGGGTGACTCACTCTATTAGTGGGGAAAACTCACTCACTCACATTTCCATAGCACACTTATGCGGGCCAGCTCAAATGGCCCAATATTGATGGCCCATTTGTGGGTGTGCGAGTGAGCCAGTGAGCTAGTGGCTAGTGGCCAGCCAGCTAGCCTGCTAGACTGCTAGCCCTAGTCCTGGCTGACCAGTACGAGCTGAATCGTCCGACTGACCGCAAGTGCCGGCCAGAATAGCCACGGAAGTATCCGCCTCGGGAATTGGGAGCACGCAACTCCAAATGGCTTTGTTGTGTACAAATATGTGCGCCCAGGGGCACCCTATAAACAACTGAAATGCAGCCGGCGAAAAATATGCAAGACTCACTAATACTAAAATCAATAAAAATCTAAAAACCCCATAAAAAGTTAAGAACGCAAAAGAGACAATTGCATCATGGACATCCCCAGCAGTGGAGCAATATTCACCCTGGGCAAATCCCATCTGGCGGAAAATACTCAAAGCTATTTCTACATCAAAAACGATCCTGTGAAGCGCCTGATTTCCGGTCCAAACCAGAGCGCTGTCATTTGTGGTAACTACGTGACCCCAAAACCGTTGGCTGGTCAACCAATGCAACCCCTGGTCAAGTGGTCAAGTCAAAATCTATTGGCGGTCGGTTGTCCGTTGTCGGTTGCATGTTGACTGCAATTTTCTTTAAATAATAATAAGCCGAACGCCCCGAGCACTTTCACTTTCTTGTTGGCCCAGTCTTTGCGGTGGCCAAGTATCTGCGAGCCTTGCTGGGTCTATTGAATTACTAAATTACAACCGGATTTTGCAACCCGACAAATTTGTGACCAGGATTAGGTGTATTGCAGGGGTGTTTTGAATATTTCATCCGGCCACTCTGCACCGAAAGGGAATACTGCTTTGCCCCTGTAAACCTTACACTTGAAGAAAAAATAAATTTCCACTGGTTTAATATGAATAATAATGATACTAGAACTATAAACCCTTTTTGATGCGAAAAATATCAATTCGAACTGAAGAACTTTTTTTCAAACGGTATAGAAATTAATTGAAATTGAACCTTAACCTTTCCAAACTTGTATACATGATGAAAATCGACAATTAAAGTTTGTTATTTATAAATAGTTTTTTAATAAATTAGTAGCGAGCGGACCAATCATCATTAGATATTTTTCCAATTGTAATAAATTTGTCCCGCACATTTAATCCGCATTACATAAGCTTTAAATCCATGAAATAGGAGCTGACCAAGCACTTCAAATCACGGCAACTTCGACGACTAATGGGGTCAGACGCGGCGTTAAAATATCTGAAATATGGAGCAAACTCACGAAGTAAACCCCCAAAAACGAAACGAAACTGAAACTAAAACCGAAGCTAACGTAATTGAGGCGTTAACTTCTGCGGGGGAGCAGTTAAACAGTTGAAACGTTGAGGGATTGAGGGATTGGCCCACACTCGCACACTTTCTCAATCAATAAAAGTCAAGAAAAGGGAACAACCCTCCCGCCAAACATAATAAAACAAAACAAAAACAAAAGCCAGTGGCAGCAGGTGAAAGCCAAAGCAAATGTCAAACCGCTCTTATCAATTACAGAATCTGGTCGACTATTTGTTTGGGGCGAGAACCACTACGGCCAGCTCGGGATTGGTGGCCATGGAGGAGCCTCCGGCAAGAAGGGTGGCAGCCACAACAACAATGGGGACACTGTGACCAAACCCACCTGCGTGAAGGCCTTGAAAACTCTGGGATTAAAGATTTGCGACGCCGCCTTCGGGAACCACTGGGCTGTGATGCTGACACGTGAGTGAATCAACAAATACTGTGCAAGTTTGTTAGCTTGAACAATCTGTCACTAAAGAAATTGGTCCAAAAAAAGTTTCAGCTAAGGGGAAAAGTTAGTGAATGGTAGCAAATTGGTAATTGTTGTGCAGTTTAGTTTTGTCTATATTATTTTATAATTTTTTAAAAAAAATATATACAAATTGTTACTTACTAACAAGCCAATAAAAACATTTTAAAATTTAATTGATATTTGATCATTTTGGTCTTTAAAACAGAAAGTTCCAATAAAACAAATGAGTAACACTATACATTTCTAGAGTGATAATCACATACATATGTACGTGGAAATATCTTAGTTTAAATAAAGTATATAACAAATATTTTAAAAATATAATAAATTGGAAATATTTAAGTTGAGTCATTTGATAAGAAATAAAGTATCTAGACAAACGCATTCTTATATATTTAAGCGCCAAAAAAATGAAATATATGCTAACTCATTATCAGACTCCAACGAGATCTTCTTCACGGGTCGCAACATCTTTCCCGAGGACACCCATGTGGCCCAGCACTTTACCACCGCCCAAGTGGAACAGCAGCAGTGCGCCATAATCCGGAAGCCTTTTCGGCTGGAGGAGTTCGATGATTACCTGTCGAAGAGCGAGGAGACGGACAACTTTATGGCGATCCAAGCGGGCAACGAGCATTTCGCCGTGCTGACCAGTAAGTATTTGCAGGAAAAATGCAATATAGGGAAATTAATATCAGAGCTTTACCGTGAAAAGGTACTGGTCGGCTGATTGGCTGCGGTTCAAATGCCCAACAGCAGCTGGGAGAACTGGAGGCGGACTACGATGGTCACCCAGTGGAGATTCGTCTTGATGCGCCGGTACAGCAATTTGCCTGCGGACCTGACTCCACCCTGGTGCTGACTGCCAGCGGGAACCTCTTTCTCACCGGCCACCTCAACGAGTTCGTCTTTCCTCGCTTCACCGAGCTGCAGAAGAACCTGCCGCCCACCGAGGCCATCATTTTCATGCATATCTCCAAGACCAGCGAAGTGTACATCGTGACCAATGCAGGCAGCATTTACCGCAGCTTCGAATCGGTGCGAAATAAGAGCCTGGTTTTCCAGCGCTTCTACGACTACGACAGCGAGGAGAACGGACCCATTTGGAAGCTCCTGAAGGGGTTCTCCTTCTACGCGGTCCTCAGCAAGGCCAACAAGTTCTTCACCACGTTCTCGGAGAGCGGCCATCACTTGAAGACCTTCCGCGAGATCTCCAAGTTTAAGAACCTCCGACTGCTGGACATCGCCGTGGGAGATCAACACGTCCTGGTGCAGGGCATCCCGCGGTCCTCGATGTCGTCTGCTTCCGTGAGTGGTTCAGCTGAACCCAATCGTCACATGAGCCGCAGTTTCGTCCTGCAACCAGCAGATGCAAATGGTAACGGAGAGCAGGGCAGGAATCATAGTGGCAGAAGCCTCACCAAACAACAAGGCCTAGAGGAGACGGAGGACCGATCTACAGCGGCTAGAGTGGAAGGATTGGCAGTCGCAGCTGGAGTTGGAACAGCTGCGGCCATTGAGGTCGTAAAACATTTAACCAATGGTGAGAAACCAGAAGAGAAAGAGGAGATATCTGAACGCAATGATATGAATGCAAATAACCAAGATGGAGAGCCATTAAATATGGAACCCAAGGACGTAAATGGCAATGATGAAAACGATCTAATTCCAATCAGTCCTTCAAAAGAGGAACCAAATAAAACTAAAAACCAAGAGATGGAAGCTCCTTTAAGTGGCGTTGAGAAGGACATGGAGGATCATCCAAATACTGTTATTGTGAGTGATACTATGAAAACAATGGGTGAATACAAAGAGGTAGAGCCCACGGCGCCTGTGGAATCTCCTATAAAACCAGCGGAATCTAAGGAAGAAGCAGTGGAACCAATTGCATCTCCAGTGAAACCGGCAGATTCACCTTTAAGATCTAAAGAATCTCCATCAAAATCAATGGTATCCCCAGTTAAACCGTTGAAATCAATGCAAAAGCTACCCACACCCCCTACACATACACCAACACCTCCCAAATCTCCAGCAGTATCTCTAAAATCTGAAAAATCAATGCAATCTTTGCAGTCACCAAATCCTCAAGAAAAAATGACAGGCAGCCCGGAAAAACTGCTGCGTCCAAGGACTCCGTATCCGGAAAGCAGTGACTCCAGCACACCACAAACGATTAAAAAGACACCTATACGAAACTTTTCATACGAGGCGGCTATGGATCATGATCACCTGGAAAGGACATCCCCCGAGTTGGTGTCTAGCCTGGAGACGGTGGACGAGGTGCCTACGGCTACCATCCAAGTGAACACGCCTACACCACCCACGGAAGAGGACGAGCAGCTGGCTGTAGAGATAACCACAACAAAGGATACGAAGGACAGCAGCAAGGTGATCAACGAGATACGATTCATCAACAATGGCGTTGATGTCACGGCCAAGGTGGAGGAACAAATGCAGGACACACCAGTGGAAAGTTCCGTGGAAGAGCTGGAATCAGATGGTGAGCAAATGCTACATCATGCGGAGGAGCAGGTGGACAAAATCGTGACGAGTACCGAAGAGACTGCGGCCAAGGCCGGCGAAGAAGCGCTGGATGCCCTGGACTCCACGCGGAACTCCATTCAAACGGCGGTCAGGAATGCTGCGCATGGAGCTCGGGATGCCATGGAGGCTGCCGGCGAGCGAATGGCCACAGGTGCCCGAGGAGCTGTGGATGCAGTGGGCGGTGCAATGGGAGCAGCGGGAAAAGGCGCCCAGCGAATGGCCACCGATGCAATGCACGCTGTGGAACAGGCAGGCAGTAATGCGGTCAAAGCAGCCTCGGACACAAAGGATTCCATGGGTAGGGCCATGGACTCGGTGACCAACAAGATCTCTAGTGAAGTGCACGGCGCCAAAGAAAATATCTCATCGTTGTTTCAAATTAAAGCAGCCAGGGAGGTGGATCCGCAGTCCTCACCAGTGTCCACACCTGATTTGTCCTCTAAGGAGGGAGCACCCAAGACGACTACTACTTTGGGTTCCAACGAGGAGGATGAGCGAACGACCGCCTCCGTAAACTCGAACCACAATTCTGCAGGGCATGGCAATGGTAATGGAAACATTTTTGAGCCCAGCAATCCCTTTGAGGATCCCCTGGATGCGGTAGTGGAGCGCAGCAAGAAGGCGATGCAGGAGGACATCCGGGCCATGCAATTGAGGACCAATTCGCATATCCAAGCAGTGGCACAGCAAAAGGAGGAGGACGCCAAGGGATTCGTGCAGCAGGTGATGGACAGACTCTCGTGCCGCAACGAAAAGGCGGTCAAGATTGAAGGTACTTATTAGTAATTATAAAATACAAGTAATCTAAGTCCACGGACTCACCTAAATCCTTTTTTCCCCGCAAACAGATGAAGTTCGTCCGCCGGCGATTCACAACAAGAACACAAACAAAGTGAACAGCGAGTTGAGCTTAACCAATGGACAGGCACATAGCGACCAGGCGCAGTCGTCGCGGGTCTGCACGATTTTATAAAACTTGCACCAACTCCAGCACTTTTCTAAGCAACTGCATTTGGTCTTGAAGTACAATTTAACGAAAATAAAGCAAACGAAATTGCCATAAAAAGTTCTGCACCGGGCAGTATGACCGTACTAGGGCGGGAGAAAAATACCAACACAAAGACTTGTGATAACTTTTCACGTTCACGGGTGAATGGTAATAGAGGAACTAGCTCATTTGCGTGGTGATAATCTATTCAATAGTCACGATGGGTAAAAGTGAGGCCTAAAAAGTGATTCAAAAATTACTGGGTTTTCGCTATTAAAGCCAAATAAAAGTAAACAAAAATAAAAAAATAAGTGATTTAGTAAGCTTAGGTATTTTGAACAAACTTTTGATTATTCTTCAACAACTAGTTGTCTGCAAAATACGAGTTTTTGTTAAATAATACGGTTTTTGGTCAGGACAAATGTACATCAATTAACAATTGACTTCAAAACCAAAAATGAATTTTAAATATATGATTTCGTATACAGAATTTCGCGATATAGAAATATACTTATACCGACTGTTTTTATTTTAAGAAGATTAAAAAACTTTCCCATCAAATCACGTCTGCCGATCGTGATTTCGCAAAACTCGTGACCAGTAACAGGTCCCCCCAAAATATCGCCCATCCCCAATTTGCACTAGTTCACTCGCGTCTATTTTGTACGCGAAACTGTAAAAAAAGAAAAGAAATATTTGTACTATTTTTCTAACGTTTATACGCTTTTTATAAATGAAGACCCAGCCACAGATAATGCTGTGAGGCCCCGTTTTCGATAGGCGATAGCAAAGCGCGTACACCCTGCCGACGGTCTATATCCCCCAAAAACCGAACCAAGTGCGGAAAATGATGTAAAACGGGGGGAAATCTAAACCTGAAAGGCCCCACACAGCACAGCTACAAAATGGAAAGGTAGGTCAATGTGTGGGCGCCTGAAAAGAGCGCGAGTGTGTGCTTTGGAATACCCAATTGTGAATTGAAATCACCTGGTAATCGGAGGGTTTATAGGCGTGTGAAAAACATTGGACATTTCGAGCGGAGAGCTCCAAAATTAAAAGTCTCCTAACCTCAAAAGAGCTTTTACACAGTACGGCTGTGAAAGTGTGTGTGCTAGTGTCAAGTGTGTGTGTGTGCGACTGAAAGTGGTTGCGAGTTTTAGGTGAAGGGGAAACGAGAGGGGTGATCCGAAGGCAACGTGTTAGTGGAAAAACTGCTTTTGAAAAAGGGAAAATCTCCACCGAAAAGCCCGCCCAAAAAGGTCAGTTTGAAATCCTACTGATCCCTGTTTGCTTTTGGCCGGTTGTCCAATTGGTCAAGGTATGAATACCAGGTTCAATTGCTAGGAAAACACATGTAATTTGCGAGAAAGTAACACGCTGTCAGTTCAACACAAAAAAAGAGAGATACCTGAGTGCTCCATGTGTGTGTTGGGCTCCGTTTATGTGAGTGTGTGTGTAAGGGGGGTGGTGAGCGGGGGGCGTGCCAGGTAACCTGTCCGGCGGACGTAAAAACCAGCGATCGAAAAATAAAGTTACATGCATGCAGCCAACGCGCGCGTATTTATTTTGTTTTTAAATGCATAATCGTATGTTTTATAATTTATGCCCTTTGGCTATCAAGTCGAAGTTTTTATGCCCTCAAAAGTAGGAGGAAATGTTATCGATCTAAATCAAAACGTTCTCAGGAAATCTTATTAAACTATCATAACTCTAATGTGTCAGCTTTTGAAATATGGTCGATCGAATTTAATAAAACGAAAAACTTCCTCATATATTTCATTGGATTTAAGCTTTTTGCTTCTGTGACAGCGTTATAATACAGTCAAGTTAAAAATAGCACGACACGATTACAACTCCCATATTTCTAATTATTGCTAAAGAGATGAAGTTAACCCAAAACGGCCTTCTCGATCCTATGCCAGCTTATAGTAGGTAGTCGCGTTCCGATCATTCTTTAATCTTTACCCTTGTCTATACGAAAAATATAATTGGAAAAGTTGTTATAATAGGCGAGTAAAACGCATATAAACAAAGGGACACGTATAAAATGAATCGCCTGGCGATGCTGATCAATAATATATGTGTATATTTATAGCGCCTGAAGAACGGTTGAAAAGTGGAGAAAGGGGCTGGGTGAAGAGGGGCAACTGGGAGCCCTGTTGGCGAAGTGTGTCAGCTATTGAATAATTTAGATTTATAATTTCGCAGTTAGGTATTTCGTATGTTTGGGAATTCCTCACATATTTTTGCATACCAAAAAGCCAAGCCGCCGTCTCGACTAATCCCAATCTCCATTCTCCAACCCAGGCACTAGCCACAGCAACAACAGAGAAGCGACCAAGATGAGCATGTCGTGGCATTTTTGAAGCATCGATCTTAGTTTGTTAGCCAGCTTTCTGTTCAAGTCACCGAGGTACCAGAGTCTCCCCCCAAGTTCCAGCATCTTCAGCTCCCAGTCCGAAACCCAAGCCGAGTCCCAATCCCCAGCAAGCAGTCCATGATGCATATCAAGAGCCTGCCCCATGCCCATGCAGCTGCCACGGCGATGAGCAGCAACTGCGACATCGTCATAGTGGCCGCCCAACCCCAAACCACAATAGCTAACAATAATAACAATGAGACGGTCACCCAGGCAACGCATCCTGCTCACATGGCAGCGGTCCAACAACAACAACAGCAGCAGCAGCAACAACAACAACAACAGCAGCAGCAGCAACAACAGCAGCAGCAGCATCACCAGCAGCAACAGCAGTCGAGCGGTCCTCCCTCGGTTCCGCCGCCCCCCACGGAACTACCCTTGCCCTTCCAGATGCACCTGACCGGGATTACGGCGGAGGCGCATAGTGCAGCCCAGGCAGCGGCCATGGCAGCTGCCCAGGCTGCAGCGGCTCAGGCGGCAGCGGCGGAGCAACAGCAGCCGGCGGTTCCGCCTCCGCCGCCGCCACACCTAACGCACCTGACCACGCACAGTCCGACAACGATCCCTAGCGATCATTACCTGGCCAACGGACATGGCGAACATCCCGGCGAGGGCAATGCAACAGGAGGAGGAGGAGCAGTCCGCGAGCCGGAGAAACCCTTCCACTGCACCGTCTGCGATCGTCGCTTCCGGCAGCTGAGCACACTGACCAACCACGTGAAGATCCATACTGGCGAGAAGCCCTACAAATGCAACGTTTGTGATAAGACCTTCCGTCAATCGTCGACGCTGACGAATCATCTGAAGATCCATACGGGCGAGAAGCCTTACAATTGCAACTACTGTCCCAAGCATTTCCGTCAGCTGAGCACTCTGGCCAACCATGTGAAGATCCACACGGGTGAGTGCAACAGCTGGGTATCCCAGAGTTAACCGAAACCTAATCTCTAAATTCTGTTTCAGGTGAAAAGCCTTTTGAGTGCGTCATCTGCAAGAAGCAGTTCCGGCAGTCCAGCACGCTCAACAACCACATAAAGATCCACGTCATGGACAAAGTCTACGTTCCTGTGAAGATCAAAACGGAGGAGGAGGAGGGGTGACTAGGACGCATGGCGTTGGCGGCACACCACCATCAGCACCAGCAGCAGCCACACCAGCACCTCCATCAACACCATCAGCACCACCAGCAGCCTCCGCCTCCGTCCCAGCAGCAGCAGCAGCACATCGACCAGCGAGGAGTCACCATCACCACGCTGCCCTCCGCTACGACAGTAGCCCAGCATCAGCAGCAGCAACAGCATCTCCAGGACGGCTCGCCGCATCACCACTTCAATGTGGCGGCTCTTGGCGATCTCTCCAGCGCCATGCAATTGGGCGCCGTGACGGCGGACGGCAGTTTCGTAACCATGGGCGGCGTGGTGGTGGGTCGCATCCAACACACGCGCGAAGAACTGCAGCAGCTGGGAGTGATTAAGGTGGAATCGCCATCGAATGGTGCCACAGCCACGACGTCAGCAGCGGCGGCAACGCAGCGCGAGGGATGAGTCGATGAGCTGCTCCTCGAGTACATGCTCAAGGAGGAAAATGTGGACGAGGAGGATGAACCGGAACAGGAGCCGGAAACAGATGTAGAGGAGTGTCAGGAGCAGGAGGAGCAGCGATCGAGACAGAAGTGAGCCATGTTTGGTGTGTACGCTTACGTTGTTGTTAGTTGTTTAATTGTAGCGAACATTGTTGTTGTTGTTAAGGTTTAAATGTGTGACTAAGAACTTACCAAGATGAATGTATAGCAAACGCTTCAAAAGTAGCTAACCAAAAGGCGCCAACACCAGCACCCAGAGCTCGCAGAGAAAAACGCAAACCGTAAAAAAAACCCGAAACAAGAAACAGAAATACTAAATCTAAAAGTAAAGGTTAACTGAACTAAAACCCAAAAAAAAGACCTTAGCGGAGAGTTGTCTATATTACAGCACACCCCATCTCACATTCACAATTCTCTCAGCCCCGGAAATAGATAAAAACACTCTCTATTCAATTAAATAATCCTAACCATAACTAAAAGCAACTAGAAGGAAACTAAATTGCTAGTAGAACAAGGAAACTAAACCCGTAATAAGCAAAAAGTCATTGCGTGTAAGAAAACAGAACTAAAATGCTTCATAAAGTGCGAAACCGTTTCAGATTTTAAATTTGTTGATCCGACTCACTTTCAGATTGTTTAATTTAGCATTTAACGTTTAAGAAAAATTGTTGTAGACAGTTGACTTAGTCAAAGTTGCCGACGTTTTTTTCGCCATCTTATGAGGGCGTGTTTTGGTCTGGGTTAACACAAATTCAATTTGTTTTAAAAATTCCTAGCTTAATTATTTAATTTTGAAAACTTATCAGAAAATCCATACACAATACCATAAACAGAAAACGGCAAACAAAAATAATTTTAATAGTTTTAAGAGGCCGAAACTATCTAATTTCGTAGTCCCTAGAGAGCCATAGTTTTAAATGCAGCGTTTTGTTAATTTTAATTGATTAGTCTTAATAGTTTTAATTTCTGCATTGGCATAATTTGGAAACACAAAAGCTGTTACGCTGGCCTTCGCCTAAATATTAGTTAATGAAGTAAACACAAACTAACGCTAATTAATTCATAATTAATTACGATTATGCGATAGGAAAGCAACAAGTTCTGTACAAAGCCCAACTCCAATTTGTATGTATAAAGCGAATGCAGTGGCGTTAAGGAGAGAGTTTACCTATATTGTAAAACAAAACCTTTTTAAAAGAGAAAATAATATTTTCTAAAAATACAACCTTCGACTTTTTATGTTACCCTTTTATTTTTTTACCCTTGGTTCCCTCACAGCCCGAGTAAATTTTGATATCAAATCCCCGATCGCCTTTAAAAACCTTCAAAAACTGCAGCAAGGGTCGTACTGAAAAGACTCCTGCGTCAAGTTCCTATAGATTTCAAAGCGCAACAAAAACGAAAACCCCAAATGTATACGAACCAATTGCAAGCCGGGAAGTGGAGATACATTAAACAAAACCTAGCCTATATGGGAAAAAAAATAAATAAATGTTGATAAATGTGTAGTGTTAACAAATTAAAAGCAAGACAGCAGAAACGAAAAACCGAAACCCCAACCTAGCAGAGTTATGAACTGAGCAACGCTTGAATCCGTTTTGTTCTATATCTTTTCAATAGGATCTGAGATCCCGGCAGACATTTAATAGCCGCCTTGAAATGTAAGCCTGATTTATATTGCAGATCGGATTCCTGCCTAATTTCAAAATTTGAGCTCTGCACCCAGCTTCCCTAACCTCCCACGCGTATGCATATACTTTACATATAAGTGACGTAGTGAGATTAGCATTTAAGAGTCTAATTTAATGATAGTTGAGTGTGTAAAATGTAAAACGGCAAAGAATTTAGACATACAATGAACAAAGACAAAAAAACGTTAGGCAAAACGAGGTGGCAGATGGATGAGGAACTGCAAAAAAAACAAACAAGCAAAAGGCTTAAAAACAAATCGCGATAATATTGTATAATTATACACATATATATTTATTAATGTATGTATGTACATGCGCAGTAGCTGTATTTATATGTAAATGTGTACGTAATTGTGTATTTAGTTACAGCATAAATATATATTTGCAATGGAGAAATACAGAAACGAAAACTATGAGAAATGGCAATGAAGCAAAAGTATTCTTATTTCACTTTTTCCCTTTCAATCGCTGAGCGTTTTCAATGAGCTTAGAATAACTAAAAATTAATTGAGCTTAGAAACTAGTGCTATCAAACCAGGAAACTTAGGGGTCATCCGACTCGGTAGATGCAGAATCCGATTGCGAACAGGGCTCGTCGTCGCCCAGAAACCCATTCAGGTAGGTTAACCATTCTGAAACGTCCACCTCTTTCTGGACTTGGTTTTGCAGCAGGCGTCGCAGGAAGCGAGTCTGGCGCACGTCCTCGCCATATCTCAGGCACATCTTGGCCACATTGATTCTGGCCACCGGCAGATTTACTTTGGGACGTCCTATTATCACCCTCGTGTTCATTCGCTTTTTCCAAGTGTGCACCTCCTCCTCCATTTCATCTAGCATGAACACCATACCCGTGTCACCGGATATAACGCCCACTGGTGTGGCCAGCGGACTACTAGTTCTCGTCTGCAACGGTTGAACATGCTCCTTGCTTTTCAGATACTTCCAGAAGCCACCGAGGTTCAGCCACTTATCAAAGTCCCTTAAGGCGTTGAGTAGTAATGCTAGGTAATCCTCGCGGGACAACTGTTCATCATCGTCCTCTTCGATCTCTGATTTTGGTTTGTACTTTATCCACTGACGGGTCGTAAATTCTTCGACCACCTTTTCCGGTCCAAAAGACATCTTTTTGGTAAGGTAAAACAGCTGAAGGAAGTGATCTGTAAATTCAAAGCGAAGATACGGTTGATCCAACTCCGAAATTGTCTTTATGTATGTGCTGATGTGCTTGGGATTCTGCGATTTAAAGATCTTAAAGAAGTCGGCGATAAGCACGCGGGTTTGGGGGCCGAGATTCGGATAAATCACCGCGTTATCCACGTACTTCAGCTCTGCCGTATTGCTGACCTCTATAATGAGGGAAATGAGGCGCTGGTAGATAGGGAGCAATTAAAATAAATACCTTAAAGACAGATCACGGCAAAACTCACCTGGAGAATCCTCTGTCGTTCTGGGTACATAGATTTGGCCGCTGCCTGTCCGAAAAGCTTCATGATTTGTTTAACGATGTCTGTGAGTCTCGTGCTAGCTGACATTCCGAATACAATTGAGGCAAATGGTTTTGAGTCTTCTTGGAACAGTTCAGACTCCGATTGACGCAGCCTGTTGTGATCCAGCCAGGAGAGGAACTCCATTTCCAGCACCCAGGTCAACATGTTTAGGACATCAAAAAGCCGTGCCAGACGGACTGCGGGTGACATTCTCTTGAAGTCGTCCAGGCATAGTTTGCCACTCAGCCAGTCGTACTGCTGAACATGCCGCAAAAAGACAGTTTCCTGCGACATATTGGCATCCTCCTCTTCCGAAAAGTTGAACACGAACTTCTCGTAGAACTTGGTGTTTTCGCGGATATCCTCATCGCTGCACTGGGAAAGGTTCTCCTCAAGGAGATCCAAATAGAACTGCAGCTTCTGGGGAGAATCATTGGAGTGCGTTTCACGCGAGGCGGGATTCTTGACGCCCAGAAAGTTCAAGTAGTAAGGACGCAGGGCGGTCCAGCAAGGAGGGAAGGCATCGACCAGCAGAAAAAAAGTGCGTATCACCTTGTTGTAGGTGTCGCCCAACTCCTTGACGCTCATCTCCTTGGCAATCAGGATCTGTAAAGAGACATTTGATTACAACAATAATTTGATTACAACAATAAAAAATAATTTTAAAAAATTGAATATTCTATTAAACGATATATTTACTTTTATGTATGTTTAAAGACAATGAAGGTTTGTTGACTTTGCAACAGCTAATGTCTACAAATTAAAGAAAAAAATATCTTGAGTTATGTTTTGAAATTAACGACTAATACTAAATTGATTGACTGTCGTGATTAATGTTGAGCATAAATTTATATACTTTAAGGGGTCGGAATTGTGTTTGATAACTTTTGGTATAAAAACAGAAATGTACAGATATCCTAACCATTGCCATGTCAATAAGTCTGTCGAATACGCCTTCGCCCGGGTAGACGCACTGCAGCACCATCATCTCCAGGATGTCCAGAAAGGTATCGTAGTGCTGGCCATGCAGCGTGGTTCGTAAAGCCTGCACGGCGGTAAAATTGGGAGCATCAGGGAGCATGGAGCAGCGATGCTTGTCTGTACATTGACTGGTATTATGAAGGCACTTGGGGACACAGGCTCCCGGCAGGCGGTCCTCGCTCTTCATGTACAGGTTGGAGATAAGGATGCGCAGGTTCCACTTCCAGTTGAGTTTCTGGGGTGGAGCCTTCGGGGGAGCAGGGCGTTCCTTGGTCCTCTTGCGGCGCTCTCTTTTTACGTGAGCCTTCTTCTCCGGTTCCGGTTCCGGTTCCTCCGATTTGGCATCCGACTTCGCGGAGACCATTTCCACATCCGAATCTGATGGCGGCTTTAAACGGACCGAATCTCCGCTATCCGTGTTTACATTTATCACGGTTTCTACCACATCCAAACTTGTGTTTAATATGGTATCTACGCTATCCGTGTTTGCATTTATCACGGTTTCTACCACATCCAAACTTGTGTTTAATATGGTATCTACGCTATCCGTATTTCGAGTAAAATCCTGCATAACTGGGTTTTTTTCATTTGAGACCGGATGTTCCATGTCAATATCCGTTAATACTTGTTCTACGCCTACTTTTTTTGGTACAGAACTAGATTCGCCCTTGATCGGGGAACTTTCATCATTGGTAGTTGACATTTAAACGAATAAATTGCCAGCAATTTCGCCAGAATTCCATTAAATTAAACACGCAATATATCTCCCTTTGCGGGCACAGATTTTAGTGTAACCGTAAGTTGACCGCTTAAATAATCCTCAAACTATCTCTATCTCTGTGTCTATCGATAATATAAATAGCTTATGTCCTTCTCGATAATGAGCTATCGTGTAACAAGCTAACAGATGGTCCAAAAAGTTTTAGTGCACATTGTACTAAAACTGTACAGAAAAAGTTGTAATTATTTTGGCCACCATAAGGTATATTTGGTAAGGCTTTGAATGCCCTGTTACGAAATCAGTGTTTAAGGTATTGCAAGATTAAAAAATAATAAATGTGAACTAATTTGTATAATTAAAATGTTCAACATTTGAATTGTTTATCATAATGTAACTTTCTATATTTATGCTGGCAACTCTGGAATCCAACTAACAGAGTGATTTTAATCGAAATTTGAATTCCACTGTTGTTTTGCTGTTAATTGAAAAACCGAGGTTTCATTTTAAAACCTTCAAGACCTTCTCGTGCGAATATAACTTGAATATAAAAAGTAATAATGAGTTTCGCTGGAAATTTAAAATCAGTTCTAAACAAATTGCTGATTTCCGGAAAAAATTGTCAGGAGTATACTCGTTTTCAAAACTGTGTTGTTAAGCAGTTAAAAAAAGATGACCCCTCTTTTGGTGAAGCTTTTGACGGCCTTAGTCTGGGTGGTAAGTTTACTATTTTAAATAAATTATATATCTATGAATGTATGTTGTATGTATAAATATATGGACCAGGAAAAAGGTTTCTTTCAAGAATTTAATGAATTCAACAAAGAAAGTGTGCCTTGCTCTTATTTAAGCTACTGATATTGTAATTAAATTTGCGTATTACGACTTTTTGTATTTCTAAATTTGACTTAAAATTCGTCTTCGAGAGTCCATAACTTTACCAAACTTAATCCGATTCCAGAGTGGCATACCTCTAAAGACTTGTGATTCGATTCTGTAAAAATCTGCATTCAAATTTTTCAATTTAACGTAGATCAAATTTTTGACCCATTTTCATGTTAGTTATTTCTAGTTTTCCGATGTTTTGTAAAAGGACTTAAAATTGGACTTCGAGAGTCCATAACTTACCAAACTTAATCCGATTCCAGAGTGGCATACCTCTAAAGACTTGTGATTCGATTCTGTAAAAATCTGCATTCAAATTTTTCAATTTAACGTAGATCAAATTTTTGACCCATTTTCATGTTAGTTATTTCTAGTTTTCCGATGTTTTGTAAAAGAGTGACTTAAAATTGGACTTCGAGAGTCCATAACTTTACCAAACTTAATCCGATTCCAGAGTGGCATACCTCTAAAGACTTGTGATTCGATTCTGTAAAAATCTGCATTCAAATTTTAAATTTAACGTTGATCACATTTTTTGAACCATTTTCATGTTAGTTTTTCTAGTTTTCCAATGTTTTGTAAAATAGTGACTTAAAATTGGACTTCGAGAGTCCATAACTTTACCAAATTTAAACCGATTCCAAAGTGGAACACCTCTAAAGACTTGTGATTCGATTCTCTAAAAATCCGCATTCAAATTTTTCAATTTATCGTTTTTCAAATTTTTTATCTATTTTCATGTTAGTTATTTGTAATTTTCCGATGTCTTGTAAAAAAGTGACTGAAAATTGGACTTGGAGAGTCCATAACTTTATCAAATTTAAGCCGATAATGCTTATATAAGTCGGAACGAGCCGGATCGGGCGACTATATCATTTAGCTCCCGTAGGAACAATCGGAAAGAAATCTAAAAAAGTAAAACTTTGTTGTTTTTAATTTTATTTTTTCTTCTTCTTTTAATTAAATTTAAATTGGACATCTTTATCATATAGCTCCCATCAATAAAATTAAAAAAAGTAAAAATGAAAAACAATTGTATTTTGCTGTTTTTCTATTTATCAAAATATTCCTTTGAGATAAAGTAATTATTTACTTCATCATGAAACATTACATAGAATCGGGCTTATACAAATTTTGTATATATATTTAATTGTTTATTATCATTTATCTTATCTATTTTAAAGTAATTAACTATGGATTGTACGTCGCCTTGGGCTGGAGATCGCAGTAGGTAATTCCAGGACCCAGACAGGAAGCGAAGCCCATTAGGTGAGGCAAAGTGCTCTGCTCGTAAACTCCAGTGAAGAGATGTGACCACGGACCTGCAAAAATAATTTATTTATTTAGTATTCATTTTTTATAGAAGTTAATCCTTTTTTTTTTTAGTTTTTTGGAGGTTTTGCTAATTCCTTAAGTTTATTTCAGACCTACAACTCACCATGAGCGTAAACGGCCACATCGCCACCGCCATGGGTCTCCTCGGTCATGGGAACTCCGTGCGGATAGATTGCATCCTGATTTGAGAAGTCCAGGGTCCGCAGATCCACGCGCTCCACTTCGCCATCCGTTGACTTATAGAATCTATCGTATTTGGGTCCATTGGCGTACGAGATGGACGTGTAGGGCAACTGGTCCACATTACTCAGCTCCGAGTTGAGGCCCACGATGCTGTTATTTACGTCCGGATATCCGCTGATCGTGACCGTGTGGCCGTGATCCGCACTCACCACGATCAGCGTGTCCCAGGGATTCGTGAGTTGTCGCGCCATTCTCACAGCCTCCGAAAACTGGACGGTTTCATCCAGAGCCTTTTTCGCCTTGGTCTCGTGGTGGGCATGATCGATCCGACCGCCTTCCACGAAGAGGAAATACCCATTCGGATCCCGGGAGAGGACGTTAATAGCCGCCTCCGTCATCTCGGGAAGCGTGGGAGTGTCCACGCTGTCGTCCAGGTGATAGGCCAGATGAGAGGCATTGAAAAGGCCGAGCAGAAAGTCGGTGCTCTGGGCATCATTGTCCAGAAGGTCCGTGCGATTGAACACCACCCGGGCGTTACCGGGCTTGGTCTGTTGCCACTCCTCGATGAGGTCCCTGTTATCCAAGCGCTGACCTCTGTTTCCGTACGCATCGGTGGTTGTGTTGGGCAGGAACTTGATGGTTCCACCACCCATCACCACCCGCAATCGCTTGCCCACCTCTCCGTCCACCAATTGCTGGGCAATATCCGGACAATTGCCCGGATTCTGCCCCAATTTGGTGACATCGTAGTCGCTCTCAAAGTCGCGGTTGGAGGTGTGGGCATACACTCCCGCCGGGCTGGCGTGGGTCACTCGCGTTGTGGTCACCAATCCGGCCGACTTTCTGCCCCGAAGCGCCCACGCGGCGATGGAGGACAGTCGATTCTGTGGCAGCCGGGAGGCCTTGCAGTCGTTCAACTCCACATCGGCGGTCACCCCGATGGTCAGGTAGTTGGCCTTGATCCCGGACAAATAGGCCGAGGATGTGCAGGCAGAGTCGGACACCTGTTTATTGACGCAATAGGTCTAAAATGAAAAAAAATACAGTCACTAATAGTTTCGCAGATTTCCTAAATTAATTTGCAAATAATTAGTTTAACACTTGATTTTATACATTTTATCTGAGACGCTCATATGATAATCTTTCAATTCTAACTTCAAGGGATACTTAAAAGATGTTTATTTTAGACTTGAACATAAAAGCTTTGTTTGTGCAATTCCTAAGCATATACCAATTATTCTGTGGATGTGATAATTAATATACACCCTTAAATTATATGTCGGCTGAGTCGTATTTAACGTTATTGTTGTTTTTGTACGAATTTGATGACTAGGTAACCAAATAAAATATAATTATTAATAATTATTTACTGGGAGGTGTGTGATATTTGTAATTTATTAAACATTTAAACGCTTGGTAGTGATAATCACCCACCTTTGAGAGGCCCACATAGTTGAACTTCTCGAATTCCAGTTGATTCCGTTCGCCCACCACCCCGCGCAGTTGTCCTTCGTAGATCCTGCCGGCGGTCACAGTGGGCACGGACATACCGTCTCCCAGGAAGAAGATCACGTTCTTGGCCTTGTACTGGTTGGGCGGTGTAGAGAGCTTCTCGTAGAGGCATCGTTGGGCATCGTGGAACCAAAACTCCTTGCTCTTTAGCTCAGAGGTGGAGTGCAGGTCCCAGGACAGCTCTAAGAGGGAAAGACTATTTAACCAATGATCCAATTTATATAACATAATAAATTCATTTAGAGCATTTCCCAGTATTCATGTAAAATGTTCATAAAGCAATATAAAAAAACTTGTGGGTGGCAAGAGTCAATTAAACCTTTTTATTTACTTGCTGATATGTAAATAATTTCAAGTACAACCTCAAGAATTTAACAATTCCGTTCACATCTGTCGATTCACGAAAAATAAAACCTGAGCACAATCGGCATTGTTTTGAAATTCACTTTCGAATCAATTGTTTTAAAGGGAAATTACTTTCAGAAGAAAGCAAATTTCAATTGAAGTAATTCAAATATAACATATCAAAATAGATTTATTATTTAACTGAACGAGAAAACAATATTTATTAATTCCATTTATGTCCTTTAAAATCCTCTGTCTTTTTTACATGTTTTATCTCGTTTTCGATCTTGTTATTTAACATCTCTGTTGGTGGGGCGTCAAATATTTAATAAAATGTATTTCGCTGACGCCTTTTATATTCCGTTTAGCACTTGATTAATCAATTCTGAATATGTTTTGTGTTTGCTTTCGGCCGCACTCTCACTCTTTTTTTTTTGGGCTTTTGGGCCCGATCTTGATCTCGATCTTGTCGTCACGCACCTGGCCCATATTTATACTGGCTGCTACACGCCGTGAGTTGGAGGGCCAAAGCCAGCCAGAACCGGAGTGCACGCATCGTACGGAATTTTGATGAACTGGCTTTCGACTGGTCGGGATCGGAGCGAGGGAATCGTTACGAGCTCTATGGATCGACTAAGCCGCATTGGGGAGCTGAAGGCTTATTTATACCAGCGCCGAAAAACAGGGCCCCAAAGTGCGAGACAAATTACCAAAACGCCGAGACAATATATTATAACCCCGCCCCTGCGTTAGAAAGCTTCTAAATTTAATTTTCAGCTGGTATTCGAATTAAGGCCTGCACTAATGCCCTTATTTAAATAAGCTGCATAAGCGAGTTCGTTCTTTCTAAATCCGGTCTGCTGCATCGGTCATTTGCCTAAAATCTTTAAACACGGTAGAATATGTTGTAATTAGTGAATGCAGAAGCACAGAAGCTCCCTAATTTATTCAAATATTTTAAAGTTCAATAACCCCTGAAGAGCTTCTAGCACCGGCTACTGCTGTTGATCTTTCACATATTTATTTTTATTAATTATTTTTCGTTTTAATTGAATTATACACCACTTGATTGAGAAAGTCATATTGTTTTGTTATTATAAACAGGTTGCAGTTAATTTGTCTACCAAGCTTTGCTCCAGCAATAGACTGGTTTGTACTTTTAAGTCGAAGTTCTTTAATGCATTATATGACTTTTTGAATAAAAAACAATCCTCACATTTTATTTAGCAAACAGATTTAATTTTACCGTTCTCATCTTGGTTCGCATCCATATTACACAAATATTATTAGGAACTTCATGTTGAAGTGGGATCAATTTAATCATTTCGAATTCCTTAAGAATTTTATAATGTTATACAACAAAAATGAGTTCTATACTTCAAGTTCAAGTATTGGCCGGAATAAAATTTTGGGTGGGGCTTTGGTCTTAAAATTTTATTAAAAAAAATATTTTTTAATTGTGGAGGTATAGTGTTTTACAAAAAATAAACATCTTTTTTTTAGATATTATATTTTTTAAAAATAGATTTGGTTTTTCAATGCTTACATTGGCTTAAAAAAAATTTGTTTTGAAAAATTGTTGAAGCATTGTTAAACTTGGAAGCTTCACCAAAAAAATATTATTTTAGCGATTCAAACTCACTTCATCATTTATATCTATTTTTTAGATTTTGCTCAGTCAACAGTTCTTACACTTTTCAAATCACGCGCTAAATATCGATATAAATTTTAGTACGGTAAAATTGGAGTAAACAGTGTTAAGAAATCAGAAAAAACCATTAATGCGTTATGGCAGTTTTAGGTGCTAGAGTTAAACTTATATTCATCAGTTGGCAGTTCCGTTCCAATTGTTGTAAAAAACTAACTAAAATTGCAGTTTTCGGAGCATTCAAGGGTTTTTAATCAACAAATCGCATCGAGTGCTAAGCGTAGAAAGTGTAAAAGAGATGTGCTAAGGTCAAGGCAATCAGCGAAGGTCAACAAACGGGTAGCAAGGACACCACAAAGGTGGGTGGTGGGCGGCAAACAAAGGGAATCACAATCACAAGACGAACATCTCGACAGACAAACAAACAAACCAATAGAATAGAAACTGGCTGAGACGCATAAAAAGTGAATGTGATATAAGTGGGCCAGCTAATTGAATTGCCTGCTTTTCCAGGTATAACTCATAGCCAGCGAGAACGGTAAAGGTCAGCAAAGTGTCTGCCTACGAAAGTATGGACTTGCAGCATATGGAGAATGGCCTGAATGGCGGGGGCGGCGGTGGCGGCGGAGGAGGTGGCCTCAGTGAAATAGATTTCCAAAGATTGGCCCAGATTATAGCCACCAGTATCCAGAAGGTCCAGCAGAATGGTGAGTGACTGTCTTATCTTGCCACTTTCGCCTATGACTAATCTGTTTCTCTATTTTTCGCAGTCTCCACCATGCAGCGCATGGTCAATCAACTGAACACGCCCCAGGATTCCCCGGAGCTCAAGAAGCAGCTGTAAGATATAGCCCCTTATCTGTTAATGGTCTTGCTTTCGGATTTTGCAATAAATCGCATACCATCTGCTAGGAAACAGGTTTACAATTTTTAGAAATTTTAAATCTTCAACATTATTTTTTAAATCAATCCAATTTTACAAATTTCTATCAATAGAAGCTCTCGCCAAGTAAAGTGTTCTTTTTAAATTTTTAAACTAGGCTTATTAAAATCAATTATATTTCTTTAAATCAATTGTCAAAAGACATTTGATATCCATAATTTGACCATTTCTAAACTGTTATCGATTAGGTATTGCTACCTTTATGGAAATCTTCTTCAGAAATCTTATTATTTTTTATTTTATAAGTTATAAAACCATATCTACATTGCCCAATATATGTATATAGCTTTTGGAGGAAAAAATGTTTAAAACTTCGAAAGCACTATCTCGTATTTCTCCATTAGGGTAACTATTTAGTAGCTTTAAAAGTTATAGCGGATCGTCAGATCGTAAGTCAATTCCTAAATAGATTTAATCCAGGTTTAGCAAAAAAACTATACTAAATATATAAAAGTTGAAAAACAAGGTTTTGTGAAACTATATTGCAAATCGAATTTAATCATTGCCTTTAACGTAAAAACTGAACAGCCCTGAATGATTCACCCATCAAACCTATTCTTAGAAAATGCTTAGCCTAACAATCCCTTCCCCAAATAGCCACCAAATAATGACCTACACCAACCAGCTGGTGACCGACACAAATAATCAAATCAACGAGGTGGACAAATGCAAGGAGCGCCACCTGAAAATCCAGCGGGATAGACTGGTCGATGAGTTCACGGCGGCACTGACCGCCTTCCAGGTTTGTTTTTCTTCTCGCAGATAAGCAAATGGCTTTGTGAGTCATGCCCTAATGTTTATCGATTGGTATTTTTAGGCCGTCCAGCGCAAAACGGCGGACATAGAGAAGACTGCGCTGCGGCAGGCGCGGGGTGACAGCTACAACATCGCCCGTCCGCCCGGCTCCTCGCGCACGGGAAGCTCCAACAGCAGCGCCAGCCAGCAGGATAACTCCTTTTTCGAGGACAATTTCTTCAATCGCAAATCAAACCAACAGCAGCAGACCCAGATTCAGGAGCAGGCCGACTTGCAGGCGCTTGAGGAGCAGGAGCAGGTCATCCGGGAGTTGGAGAGCAATATTGTGGGTGTGAACGAGATCTACAAGAAGCTGGGCGCCCTGGTCTACGAGCAAGGACTGACGGTCGATTCCATCGAGTCGCAGGTGGAGCAGACAAGCATTTTCGTCTCACAGGGCACAGACAATCTCCGCAAGGCGAGCTCCTACAGGGTGCGTCCATTTATAATCTCAGCAAGGAGTCCTTTAAATAATAATAAACATTTTTCAGAACAAAGTGCGCAAGAAGAAGCTCATCCTGGTGGGCATCCTTAGCGCCGTGCTGTTGACCATCATCTTGATACTCGTCTTTCAGTTCAAGAACTAGAGCCATCTGGCTAATCTGAATCATTCAAAACCAAACTAGTAAATTGTTGTGAAAAGACAAGAGTTGCCGCATGCAGGCCCCTAACCCCCGTAATTCCCCACCCACTCCTTTGGACCTTTAGGCGCATTTGTGGCTTTAATCCTTAAACTAACTTCCACTATTGGCTAGAAATCGAGGAACTCGATGGCGAAGATGTGAGTGTTTCCAGGAGTATTCACCAGCACGTGCATATGTTATATTCGCTTTAAAATTATCTTATATTTTACATGTACTACTTTAACTATTACGCACCCTGTATATTGATTATTGATTAACAACTGTTGGCTGCAAAACTCTAATTATGTTCCGAAACTCATTCGCCAGCGCTTTGTATTGTATTAAGAGTTAAGAGGTAAAGGAAGGCATACACACATGTACGAAAAATGAAATAATAAACATGAAAACCGATATCTGGCAGCGATCCTGCGTGCGTTGAAAACACTTGGAGCACTTCATTTAGGGCCCGACCTGAATGAATCAATGAATGGAACTCGCCAGCTCTTTTGGGCATTCGAAAATGTGCCTGGTCATCGACTCCTCCTTGGCTTGGCGATCATTAAGATTTCGTGTTGGCCATTGTTACGCATGCTTTAGCGGCTTAGGAGCTGGATCCCCGACTCCAATAGCGATCCGAATGCCACTCCGACTGGGTGTTCAGCTCTCGCACATTAATGCCGCGGCAGACCTGGATGCGGTGGACCCACTTCAGTGCTGCATCGTTGAGGTGTGTCAGCCCCAGCTAAAGGGTTTCCTCGTGGCCGGACTCCGTCTTCCAGATTTCAGATTCCAACTCCGCTGGCCTGCATACAAATTGAGTTTAAATTTTTTGCCAATTCACTGACATTGATAGTTCGTTTGGGCATCATTTGTGTGGTGGTGGTGGCTTCTTATCCACTTGTTGGCATCGAGTGGTTTTCTCGCATGCATTTAAGTGCAGCTCATTTCCTTCTATAACTCGCCCCGGGGCTCGCCAACAATCAGTTCCCGCCGAGTCATTCAGTTATTTCTGGCCCAAGACGATTCGATTCTCTGCCCTGGGATATTCAGGGTATATTGAGTCATCCATGGAAGCTAAATTGAATTGTTGATAATACGATTATATGAAATAGATATATAATATATAGTTTCCAAAAAGGATATTGTTTCGTTTTTGTAGTTCCTTTCTTAGAAATATTTAAATACGGTTTATGCTTTTTGCTATGATTATTATTTGTTTACACATTTTATTTTTTTTATAAATGGATTTCAAATTAAAATAAAAAAATTTATTTTGGTGTCTAAAAAGATATATTTGACTACTTTTTTTTGTTACTTCTTGGAACACGGTATTTTTTTATATTATTTATTTTTAATTATTTTACTGTCATTATAAATGAATATAAAAATCAACTCATTATGAATATAAAAAAATCATTAAATCATTCATTATCAATATATACAAAAATGTACTCATGATAAAAATTAAAAAAACGCTATAAATAAATTCGAGTGTGCAGAGTATCTGGACCTTACCTTGCACATTTCATAGTCATTTTCTGGTTGTTTCTTTTGGGCCTGCTTGGCTGTCAGTGGCTGTCCAAATACGTCACCGGGTTGCCCGGCCAGCCGGTTGGGAATTATTGATTACTCGTCCGTGGGGGCCAAGGGTTAGGCCCCGATCGAGCCACACGGCACGGCCTAATCACATCGATTACGGCTACATGCGGCCCTTGGCAGGTTGGCCCAGTGGACAAATCCATGTCCAAATCCAGCCCCTGGGCCATGGGTCACGTTGTGAGCTCGGGAGATTCGAGTGGCGGAGGTGTTGGAAATTAACAGAAACTATGCACACCTACAAGGCCCAGTCGCAGCAGGTAGTCTTGGTAGTCTTGGCCTAAAGGCTGCTGTTTGCATAGGCCAGAATCCCCGGCCCATGATAATATTGACATCTTCGGTGGCCAGGCTGCAGACGAATCTCATTTGCAAAGTCATTTTGTCCAAATAAATTCAGCCTCCGTCTTGGTGATTTTCCCAACTTAATGCGCGACCACAAACCGCATGTTTTGACTTTGCCGTAGAATGGACAGTGGAAATTCCGTAACTTGCTAAGCGGTGGATTGACTTACCAACTTGCTAGCCAGGATTTTGGAATTTTCGGTCCTGGGAAAATTGTGAAAAGCGGGGGAAAACTGCGAAATGGCAAGCGGTTATCTTCCGGTTTCTAAACCCTAATAATCCCTGCACATTTCACACGTTGCTTACGATCAGTTCCCTTCTATAACGCTGATGATGATGTGCGTAGTGGATAAACATCCGGTTTGTGGCATTTCCCAAATCAATAAACTTATTATTATCCCATTTCCCCAAGACTTGCCCTTTTATTTGGAAAAATTCTTAATTAAGCGTTTTTATGAATGAAGGCGTAGTGCCCACGCGCACTTCTTTCCTCTTTTTTTTTTTTTGCTTTACAGAATTTTAAGTGGAATTACTTGCCTAGAAAATCTGTAAATCTTTTGAATTTTTATTAAAAACAAAAATGCCAAATCAAAAGTTTCGTTTGATTGTTCCGTTTTTACCTGTGGAGGGGTGGAGTGGGGGCAAAGCACTTGATGCCCAACACTTTCGACAGTTTTATTAATGAAATTCGCAGAATAAGTTGCCACTGATGTGCTGCCTCTCATTTTCACTCGGCTGCTCTCCTTTAACAATTTTCTCTACAGAGAGAAAATTAATCTATATAAAAAAAAAATATTCAGAGTAAAGACATATTGTTTTGTCTGCTTAAAACATATTATAATGTAAGTACTATAAATAATTTTTAAAATCTGTAATCAAAAACGTATTTCATGGGTGTTGTTTTTATTATTGGTATTTCATTGAAAGTTCTTTATATCAAAACATCATACATTTTTGGTTATCATAAATTATTTTATATTGTAATCAAGGTAACAACTTTTTCCCTGTGTAGCTTCTATTTTATGAACTGCTTGAGAAGACCTCCCCCTTTATAGCCCCTCTTAAACCCCTCAACCCCCCTTTTCTCCAGCTGGTGCGCACACTTCTAAACAAATTGGGTGTCAAAAAGTGCGCACATTTCAAAAGATTTAACCGTTTTGCAGGCACCGATCGCTAGTCTTTGATCTTGGCCGCCCCCAACGGCAGACGCCGCCGGTGCCCGTTTATGTGGTTGCCACTGTGGCAGCACAGTGGAGCCTGCTGCTGCCGCTCAGTGGCAAGTGCCCCGGCAAAGGCACAGTGGGGTCGGCCCTCAAGTCAGTTTATGGCAAATAGAAATCGAAGCACTCCAAATATCGAACACTTTTATTGGTTAATAATAAAATTATAGAAGTCTTTACGGACTATGTTGATAATAAAGATAAGTACTTGATTTTATGGCACATTCATTAAGATTATAACTCGATATACTTTTATAGCAGCAGAGAGTGTTCTTTTTATAAATGTGGGCAAGAATATGGATAACAAGAGATGGGATGGTATTGTTTTGTAAGATAAGTACAGATGACTTATGCAAATCTTGTGTTTGCTTTTAAATATTAGGCAACAATTTATAGAGGTATTAGAACAAATAAAAAGAAAACCGAGGTGCTTCCACCATAAAAATGATTATTTATTCTTTAAAGTCTAAAACGCTTTAAGCTAATAAAAAAAACTTTTCCCAGGACAGAATTTCAAATAATTTGTAAAGGTACATTTTTAAACAGAAAATATGTATAAATTAAAGAAATGTCCGAAAATGGTTTAACTATAACAGTTAAGTTAATGATTGCTCCTTTTTAAATTACTTGAAGTTATATGAAGCAATAAAATCGTTTTCAGTTAAATTATTAAAATTTACTATTAGGGACACTGTAGAATCCTAGCTAGTCTGCTCTTGGCTCAATATAAACACGCTCGGCTATAGCTTTTATCTGATTCGCCTTATACACATATACCACGCGCCCCGTCGAACTGTGTGAAAAAAGCGTCAACGCAGCAATAAGATAGCGAAAAGAACAATTTCCCGAGCCAGGGGCGCTGAGGCTGTTTTTTAAAAATTGGCAGGGATCGGGGCTTCGCCCGGGGTTCCCCTTCCCATTCCCCGGGCGGGGGATTACGACTACAAAGGGATCGGCGATCAATCCGAGCGCATCCATAAAATCGCAATCGCAATTGCAACTGTAACGGAGTATTGAGATGTCTGAAGCCGCAGGCTGGGATTAAAGTCGGTCGGACAATTGAGGGCACGGCTGGATGGATGGGATGTAGCCTACACATATCTGTAGGACCAGGGCCATGTGGATGCCAATGCCACCGTGCTCGAGTTCTGCCATCCCATTGTGTGCGATCTATTCTTCGGGAAGGTGTCTAATGCGACGTGGATGGAGTATCTATTTTTTGTGGGCCATTTGCCGATGCTTTGTTGTGTAATTGTTTGTTTACGAATTGGCAACAAAAGCCAGACAAAAGGCCACGGCCAGGGCGAATTTCGTAGTTCATCGGGTTCACACACGTACCAAAAAACCAAAAAAAAAAAAAAAAAGAAATGAATCAAATCGAATAGATCGAAAGCTGCAATAACAAAATGATCATCATCGGATGATCAGCCTCATCCCCAGCATATATAGCTCAATTTTCGGGGCCCCGATGCCTGTCAAATTATTTCTGGTTGCCTCGCTTATCGTTTTTTGATTGTTTCTTTTTCCAAATTTCTTGTTTTTCTTCCTTTTCGCTTTTCCGCTGGCGTTTTCCTCCCCAACTAATTGTGCCTGACATTAATGTCACTCTGTATTAAATATAGCCCAGCGCCGATTTGGAGGCCTCCTTCCGCCTGCTCCATTTCATATTTGGGAGTAAGGGCCGCGACTTATGAGGGGACTAAATGGGATCGGTGTCGGTGGATCATCGCTGGATCGGTGGAATGGGGGATCGGGGGGCCTTCGCCTTAGCAACGTGTTGACAGCAAGTGACAGACACATTCATTAGGCGGAATGATTCATATTCGAGCGGGGGTTGCCATGGAAATTGATGGAGAGGAGCAAATCTGATCTGACAAATGGAAGACTAATTTGAGCAGCATTAGACCAAATGATTTAGGGCTTCGACTTGCGGTTAGTTGAGCTTCATCAATAATATGGATGGGTGACTCTTAGCCGGGCATGTTGTAACTTGATTAGGATAATTTATGAACTACCATTGATTAATGTCTTGACAATTGCGAGACTTTGTAGTCGTGTTCCAAATGAAAATTGTTGGTTAAATGCTGCCAATTATGGTTTAAACTGCGTAAGTTACATTAAAAGTCAATATTTCAAGTTTTTGTTACTATACATTTTCTAGAAGTACATTTCCGGACTAAGATATGATTTAGATATAAGTTACTTATTTTGAATATTTCTTAAGCTCGAAAGATATATATTAAAATATTAGTT